CGCCCTGCCCGCGGGCCGCGCGGCGCCGCTGTGGGGGCCGGCGCGGGGCGATGAGTACGAGCGGCGCTACAGCCGCGCCTTCCCCCCGCAGCTGCGGGCGCGCCTGCGGGACGCGGCCCGCGGCATGTTCGTGTTCGGCTACGACAGCTACATGGAGCACGCCTTCCCCCGCGACGAGCTCGACCCGCTGCACTGCCGCGGCCGCGGGCCCGACCGCGGGGACCCGTGAGTGACCGGGACGGGGCTGGGGCGCCCGCGTATCCATGGGAGTGGCTGCCGGGGGGGACGGGGCGCTGGGACATCCGTTTTTCCATGGGAATGCCCCCGAGCGCTGTCGGGGCGGCGCTGGGCGGTCAGTGGCGGACGTTTAACGGGAACACGGGAAGTTCCATCTCAGCGGGAACCACGGAGCGGTTCCGGTTGGGAGGGACCTCAAAGCCCATCCAGTGTCACCCCTGCCCTGGCCAGGGACACCTTCCACCAGCCCAGGTTGCTCCAAGCCCTGTCCAACCTGGCCTTGGACACTTCCAGGGATGGGGCAGCCACAGCTTCTCTGGGCAACCTGTGCCAGGGCCTCCCCACCCTCCCAGCCAAGAATTTCCTGCTAGTATCTAATCTAAGCCTATTCTCTGTCAGTGTGGAGCCGTTTCCCTTTGTCCTGGCACTCCAGGCTCTTGTAAAAAGTCCCTCTATGTCTTTCTTGTCAGCTCCCTTCAGGTACTGGAGTGGAGTTCTCTCCATGGAGGGTGTCAGAGCCCTGGAACAGCTGCCCAGGGAGGGTGTGGAGTCTCCTTCACTGGAGACATCCCAAAGCCACCTGGACACATTCCCGTGTCCCCTGCTCCAGGTGACCCTGCCTTGGGAGGGAGGTTGGGCTGGATGATCTCTAGAAGTCCCTTCCAACCCTAATGATTCTGTGATTCTGCTCTTCCAGCTCCAACCTCAACATCAACGATGTGCTGGGGAACTACTCGCTGACGCTGATCGACGCGCTGGACACGCTGGCCGTGAGTCCTTGGGCTGGGGGGACTGCCAGGGACACCCCTGGGACCTGCCAGGGACACCCCTGGCACCTGCCTGGGCTGTGGGTGCTCCCCACGGCTTGGCCAGGGGGTGCTGGGTGTGTGGTAGCAAACAGCTGGATCGTGAGCCAGCAGCGTCACACATGGATAAGAAAGAGTAGCTGGAGATGGATCAGTAGGGATTTCCAGAAGAGACAGGAAATTTTGGAGCTCTTCCTCAAGGCTCAGGTGAGAGCTCTGGGGATACTGCCATCACTCTGGTGCTCAGGAAAGGTGGATTTGAACTGGGTCAGGTGTGTGTTGTTGAGAGATCCGTCAGGAGGAGAGTTTGTCTTGTTCAAGGTGACTGGAAGAGCTCTGGTTCTTTTGCTTGGCAGAGAGGGCCTGACTGACACACAGATCTGTGTGAAGAGTGGTGAAAGGTAGGAAGGGAAAACCTGTAAAGCTGTTTCTCACCTTCATTCCTGATAAAAGTAGAAGATAATGTGAGAAGAACTCAGTTTTATGTCAGGAGTACCAGTGGTGTGGTGTCTTGAGAAAGAGCCCCCTCCTTGAACTCCTTATACATATTTAGAAGACCCCATTAGGTTTCATTAGGCTCATTTTTGCAGCCAGGGCAGGTTTTGGGCCTTCTGGAGTGTCAGGGCTCGCTGATGTGCTGGATCCATGTGGTTTGTGTGTCTCTCCTGTGGTGCAGGGGGTGGCTTTGGGTTATTAAACCCTGCCCATTGCTACTCTGGGACAGCAGCAGTGGTGAGAAGCTCTCAGTTGCTTGAACGTGGCAGTGCTGAGCAGAACTGAAAGCAGAAGTGAGGGAATATTTAACTGAAACAATATTTTGGGATCTGTGCTGCATGGCTGACGGTGTGTGGTTGAACAGTGCCTTCCTGTCCTCAGTTGCCAATATCACAGTGGCCTTGTGGGGCACTGCAAAGCTTTTTTTCCTCAAATCTAAACCTTATGGTTCCTGGAATTTTTTATGTTTCAGAAACTTCTGCATGGGGGAAGCCTGTTTTACTCCTCATCTGCTCAGATCAAACACATGATGCTTTCCCACTGGGGGTGGGTAATGGGGAGAGCTGGCACATGCTTTTGGTCCCTGTACACCCAGCCTTTTCATGAACTTACCCAAGCAGGGACCTGTGTTTTCTTTCCACATTCCTGCTTCCTTGAAGCTCAGGCTGAATTTCCATCTGTCTCTGGATGCAGTGGAAATAAATTGCTGTAGAAAACTGGCCCAAGGGAGCTCCTGGATGAGCAGTGCTGGGTCAGAAGCCTGAAAAGTTGGACTCACCTTTGATCAAATAAACATCAAATCAGACTTCATTGTTCTGCAGGTTGTGTTATGTTTTCAGCTGAACTTAAGTCTTAAATTGATAGTTCAGGCAGTTTGAACACTCCTGTGCTAAATCTGACTGTTGGTCTAAGATGTGTACTTGCTATTCTCTTCCCCAACCCTCTTCTGAAGCAACAGTTAGACAAAAGAGTTTTGTTTTTCTGTTAAAGGTAATGGGAAACTCCTCAGAATTCCAGAAGGCAGTGAAGTTGGTGATTGACACAGTTTCATTTGATAAAGACTCAACAGTCCAAGTTTTTGAGGCAACAATCAGGTACATTGTGCTAAGTTTCAGTTTTAAAACAGTAACAAGGTTAAAGACTTGGTGTGTGTAATTCAAAGTAAAATCAGTGATAAGGATGGACTTCATTCCATAATTATTCATCCAGTAAGTTGTTCCTTAACCTTCTAAGAAAATATTCCATCCTTCCATAATTAATTCTGCTGAGTCAGTGTGACCTGAAGCAGTGAGACAGTGGTTGTCTCACCTGTGCTTGGCCTGCAGACTCTGCTTTTTTCTTGTTGCTCTTGTAGCAGAGAATCAGATCTGTGCACAGCAAACAACCCTGCCACTGGTTTTCCCTGCTTTTGTTTCCTTTTATGGACTTTTCACTTTCACTTTCGTTTCAAATGAAAAACAGGCCTTTCTGCCTTGGAAATGGGTTTAGATACTGTCTGATTTTAAATGGTTTCATTTTCTGAGTGTCTTTAACAGTTTTTATTTCTGCTAGGATTTCTTTTTTCTGAATACTCACTTTATATAGTAACCTTCCTGCCATTTGCAGGACCAGGGAGGTCTTCACTCCTAAATACACTTGGAATATTTTTACAAGGAACTACTGGGTTAGGTAAATTTTGCAGGACCAGGCTTTGGGATAGTGTGGCTGACAAGCAACATGAATTTACATGTTTTCACTAGTGGTGGGGGGAAAACCAGATCATTTTCTGTAGTGCCTGTAAGGTGCACAAAGTAATAATTCTATTTAACGTGACACCTGTAAGGGTTTAGCTGAACAACTAGGTTCAGATCAGACTAAAAAAACTACATTTTCCTTTTCCTGTAGGGTTTTGGGAAGCCTGCTGTCTGCACATATCATAATTACAGACAGCAAGCAGCCTTTTGGTGATATGACCATCAAGGACTACGACAATGAGCTGCTGCACTTGGCTCATGACCTGGCTGTGAGGCTGCTCCCAGCCTTTGAGAACACCAAAACTGGGATCCCATACCCTCGGGTAAGTGAGCACACCCCCCTGGGGAAATCAGCTCAGAGGAGTGATTCACCTGTCCAACAACTGGAATTTGTACCCCTTTTTGTGCACTTGGGGTATTGAACCTGCTCAGAGTTACTTCAAAGTGATGAGGGGAACCTGCCCCAAGTTTTGGTGACATTGGCAATGCTTCAGCTACTCCTTATGTGTAGGAAATGTTTTCTTTAGGCTGATTTTTCACTCTGTGTTTATTGTGCCCTCTGGGTCAGGAACCATTTGTTTCTGTGCTGTTTGGCTGGAGCACTCCCTGTGTCACACAGCAACAAACAATACTGTCATTAAGAAAGTTAAAAAGAAACACTGTAAAGACAAAGAGTGGAGGAATGTGACTTTATTGGTGACTTGCTACTGAGACAATTGTGTTACAGTAAAACTCATAAATAAATATTTGTGATGTGGGCCTTGGAATTTGTAATTTTATTGAATATTGCTCAGTGAATGCTCAACACTGGTATTCTTGAATGCTGCATCCTCCTGTTTTAAGCAGAGGCAGTTGTCAAGGAGAGGGATGTCAGTTCTACTGGAACAACTCTAAACTGTAAAACTACAATTAGCATTCGCCTGGCTGCTTTTAATTCCTGGGGACAGCAGTACTACTTTTCCTCCAGACCTGTCAGGCTGCAGAAACATGAATTTTCACTTCTGTTCTAAGTCTGGTAAAGCAGTTGAGGGTGGTGTAACTTCCCTTCAGCGTTGTGTTCCGTGGGGAAGTGGAGGAGCATTCAGTGAGGAAGCCCTTGGTTTCAAGAGCACGAACTGAGGGGGAGCAGTGCTTGCACCACCCTTGAAAAACCTGACTGTATAGTGGAAAGGATGAAAAAGTGGACTGAAATCTGGAAGGATTAGCAAGTATAAGAGTAGGAAGATTAGGATTTCCCATTTTGAGCATGATGTTGTAAGGTGGGAAGATGGATTTCAGGAATTCTACAGGAAACCTTTTTGAACAAGCACCAATATGTTGCCTTCCTATCTCTGTACACATTGCATGCTATATATTATGCAGAAACTAGTGAGAAGGCTTTCTAATAAATCTGAGAGTGCAGATGTGAGCACAGCTGCAGGAGGTCCAGCCTTCTCCCTTCAGCACTCTGTACCTGCCCACAGGTGAACCTGAAGAAGGGGGTTCCTGCAGACAGCCACAACGAGACGTGCACAGCAGGAGCTGGGTCCTTGCTGGTGGAGTTTGGGATCCTCAGCAGGCTGCTTGGTGACTCCACGTTTGAATGGGTGGCCAGGAGAGCTGTCAAGGCCCTCTGGAGCCTCAGGAGCAATAACACTGGACTGTTAGGTAATCCCTGAGGTGATGCTGTATTGACTGGCTCCATGTTTAACCTGCCTCAGTCTCGTGCCATCAGGCTACAGGTTTCTTATATATCATCCTTTGTCCATCTGCTTCCTCTGTAGCTGTTCAGTCATGTTCTCCTTGTGTATTTATGGTTTGTGTTGATCAAGTGGCACTTTGTGAGATAAATAGTCTCTGAATGACTCCTTAGGGCACAGGTTTTCAAAGATAAATTTGTAATGAAACTGAAGGTCCTGATTTGTATTCCCATTAATGTAATTTAGATTGGCAGATGACTAAAAGTACTTAAAACAACTGCACTTGTGGATGTTCCTTGGTTGAATCCACTGTAACACTTTATTTGATATTAATCTTTGATCCTTTCTCCTGGATACTTTCTGAACATGTAATATTTCCAAGTCTTGACTCGTGATGATCTTTCTCTGGTGTAGTGGGCAGCTGCAGGCTAAACTTTTTTGTCTCTTCTGAAAGGAAATGTTGTGAATATCCAAACTGGCCATTGGGTTGGAAAGCAAAGTGGATTGGGAGCAGGGTCAGATTCATTCTATGAGTACCTGCTGAAGTCCTACATCCTCTTTGGAGAAAAGGAAGACTTGGAGATGTTCAATGATGCCTATAGGAACATCCAGAACCACTTAAGAAGAGGGTATGTTATTTCATCTCAGCATCCATTCCTTAAGCAGTGAATACTCCAGCAAGATGTGAGAGACTGGATATAATGCTTTGTGTCATGCCCTAGAAAATGTGTTCTCTTTTTTTTTTTCTTTAAAAAAGAAAACCTTATTTCCATGGTAGTGGAAATAAATTTTAATGCTCTTTTTACTCCTTACTCAGCTGATCTGTGCAGCATTGTGGGTGCAGGGAAGTTAAACTGGTTCCTGTCCCAGTTTTTAAATGTTAGGCTGAGAGAAGGCTGTGGCACTGCAAAGGAGATGTGTTAAATTGGCTGGTTTGGCTCTTTCTGATAGAGATTCTTCAGACAAAACTTTAGGATTCGATATCCATACCTTTATGAATTAATTTTTCTGAGGGCATGACTGATGTTTTGATTCTTTTCAAAATTACTTTGAGCCCAGCACTGTAAGTCTGTGGCTCCTTGTCTTTGCTGGTGGCAGAGCTGTGAAGTGGGACATGCATTGTGTTCTTCTAGAATAGAGAGTATTTACCTGTCCTTCCTGTTCCTGGCAGTCGAGAGGCCTGCAATGAAGGTGAGGGTGACCCTCCCCTGTACGTGAACGTGAACATGTACACGGGCCAGCTCATGAACACCTGGATTGACTCTCTGCAAGCCTTTTTTCCTGGGCTGCAGGTAAGCTTCCATTCTGTTCAACACCGAGTAGAGGGATCCTGGGCTGGGAGTGAGTTGGAGCAGTTCTGAGCTGAGCTTCCAGCTGTGGGTTTGCATCTGGCTGCTGTGATAAGTCTCAGCTCAGCCTCTGCATCAGCATAACAATGTGGGCAGCCCTGGCCTGTCCTCTGCTAGATTGGAGATCCTTTACACTTCTCTCATTTAACCTCAGCATTTGTATTCTGTGCTGTGAGGCTGACCTCTGCTAAAGCTTTTGCTGCAAAGGAATTAATACATTAGTGCTTTTTTTGGGGGGTTGGGGTTTTTTTGTCTCTTATGAGGGGAGTATTTTATTCCGTGCCACGTTCTCATACAGAGCAGAGAGCGATTTGCTGGCTTGCAGCTTTAACAGGCATGTTTATGGCTGTTGTTGTGCCCAGGTGTTGATAGGAGATGTGGAAGATGCTATTTGTCTCCATGCTTTTTATTATGCCATCTGGAAACGTTATGGAGCTCTCCCAGAAAGGTACAACTGGCAACTGCAGGCGCCCGACGTTCCCTTCTACCCTCTGAGGCCCGAGCTGGTGGAGTCCACATATCTTCTCTATCAGGTACTTAACTCCTCTGACATTACAAATCACATTTTGGCAAAAATGGTTTTGTTTAGAAAGTCACTTTTTCCACCCTTAACCACTGGCCAGATGAAATTTGGTGCCTCTGGATCTGCCTGTTATGTGGAGGTCTCTGTTCAGGCACCAGGTTGTTGTGCAATGTAGTTGCTGTGCTGTTTGCCTCAAAAATAGCCTTCTTTATAAGACAGCCAAAAATGAGACTAAACAACTTTTTCAAAAAGCTGCTGGCAGAGTTTTTTACAAGGCAGAGACTTGTGACTTCTTAATCAAAATTGTGGAAGTAAATGTAATAGCATTCCTTGCAATACTGTCCAGGCACAGTCTCCAGCTGGCAGAAGATGCAGTAAACTACAATAACTGGCTACCAGGAAGTTATCAAAGAGTTTGGATTTACTACAGGTTTTACTAGGATTTGCACTAGAGCAAATGTGAGAAGCTTGCACAGACTAATTCAGGTCATGTTCCTGTAAAGATAAGTTTGCAGTGATACACGAGACTCTGGTACCACAAGGCCTTTGTTGTAAGTGTTATTTTTACAAGATTTCAAAACTGCTGACTCTAACTCTTGTCTGTCTTCCTTATTTAGGCCACAAAGAACCCATTTTACCTTCATGTGGGAATGGATATTCTGCAGAGTTTGGAAAAATATACAAAAGCAAAGTCAGTCTTCAATGTTCTTTGTCTTCTCTCACTGCTATATATATATATATATTTTATTATACAAATATTATATAGAATCCAGTCTGCCACATGTAGGTAAACCAGAAAACCCAACCCTCCATGAAAGCCACAAGTGATGATTTATTTATTGGACAACTATTTCTTTCCCATCTGAAAGTGCAATTATGGTCCAGTGGCAACTTTTACATTCAGAATTTTATAAGTGCCTTTGAAAATGCATTATTGATGACCAGTTGCTAAAAACTGGTGAAAACAGTAGTTGGTATTTTTCCCATGGATCCTTCAAGAATAATTCTAACCTCATGGCCCCATGGTATTTAGTGAAACTGGAGGGATGACCTCTAAGGCAGCTTTCATTTCTGAGCTTGGACTCAGAGGGAAGACAGTGTTGTTTTTTTTTTTTAATTCATTATTATTAATTTACTCACTTTGTAGACAAACGTGTACTAACCCTTGGACTGTTAAAACCTTGCAATTAAGTGGGGTTCACATGATTACAGACCCATCAGAACACCAGAACCAATAATCAGGGAGTGCAAGAGACTTGTTTCATTTGAACTTCACCCCTGACAGCTGGAGTGGTCTAAAGTAAAGCAATATCTGGGGAGCACTTTGAGACCAGAACAGGTGGGAACTAAACCCAGCCCACTGTTAAATCTTGCAGGTGTGGCTATGCCACGTTGCACCACGTGGTAGAGAAGACGAAGGAAGATCGGATGGAGAGCTTTTTTCTCAGTGAAACCTGTAAATATTTGTACCTGGTACGTGTATGTTCTTCATTTCCAGGCTGCTGTGCACCACCATGGCACAGTGGGGAGGCAGGAGGTTATTGACTATTAATTAGAAACAGTTGGGCTCAAGGCAGAGCATCATTAATTAGAAGCTGCTGGGCTCTGGGGAAGGGAGGAGGTTAGCTGTTGGGGGGTATCAGTGTGCTCCTCTAGCTCTGATCTCACCCCAGTCTCTGAGGGTTGGCAGCTGCCCAGGTGAGGTGTCCTGACCCTGGAGAAGCTGCAGGTTGTGTGGGAGGAAGCTGGAAGGAGGGAGCAAAGGGGAAGGTGCTGCTCAGCTCTGAGCCAAATGGCTGCTTGTAGCTGTCCTGCCTCACAGCAGCCTCTGATTTCTCCCCACTGGGCTTTGGCAGTCACAGGAGGAAGCATTTGGGCTGACATTGCCTGAGCTGTTCTGAATCTCCTTTAGTGCAGAAAACTAAATAAATCTGTGACTGAGCAGGAACAGTGGATGCCAGCCTAGAACTGCCTGCTCAGAGCAGCTTGGAAAAACAAGGGCAGTTTAAGTTGCGTGAGAAGTTTTGCTTCTGCTCCCCTTTGATTTTTCACTGCTAAAATCATTCCCTTGTATTGAGACTATTTATTTCCATTTCCCCTAACGTTATTTAGCAATAAAACCTGGGTTTGTGTGCGTTTTTAACTTGTTTCTGGGATGTGAAGGATGTTGCACACATACTAAACCTGTCTCTCCCATCTCTCGTTTAGTTGTTTGATGAAGAGAATCCAGTGCATAAATCTGGAAATAAGTTTATGTTTACTACTGAGGGGCACATTGTGTCTGTGGATGAACGTTTTCGGAACTCCCTGTGGGAAGACATCCTCCCTGGGGAAGAGGACAGTGCAGAGAAAACCAAACCCAATGAGTTGAAGGCAGCCAACTTCAGCTCCAATGTAAGCAGTCACAGGCTGGTCCTGTTGGGGGGCTGGGGAAGGGTGAGGCAGTAGAAAAAGAGCCATTTGGAAGTGTTACTGTAGAGCTCTGCAGTGTTTCCTTTATAAATGTTAAATATCTAAGAAACTCCCTTGTGGAAAGCACTTTCAGCAGCTGAGTGAATGGGTTGGGATCATGTGTGTGATTATATTGAAGAGGAAACCTGTTCCCTTTGGAATATTTTGCAGCAATTTTTTCTTAATTTATTTCCAGTTATTTTTCCCTTCCCCTTTTCTTTGCCCTTAAAATTTTCCACTATTGCTGTTGGGGAGAAAAGCAGAAGGTCGTTTAGACAAAGGTTTTATTTCCTCAGAGTGGTTTTGAGGCCTGTAAAGGTGACCTTTCTTAGCCAGGCCTCAACTGAGCACAGAGCTATGGCCCCAGTGCCAATCACCAGCCAAACCAGATCTGGTTTTAACTGTAGAATGACAGAATGGTTTGGGATGGAAGGGACCTTAAAGATCTTCCAGTCCAACCCCTTGCCATGGGCAGGGACACCCTCCACTAGCCCAGGTTACAGAACAATGTTTTTAAATCCCTGCTGGTAGGTTCTGGGAGAGTTCCTTTCCTCCTCCCCCCAGTCCTCCAGAAAAAGAGCATTATTTTAAACATTCACAGTTGTCACAGTGAAGGAGGTCTCAGTTGAACAACAAGCTGTGCTGTGTGTTTGGGAGCTGCAGCCTGCACTGAGGAGACACTTGCTGCTCATTTATGGGGTTTGCTATGGAAGTTTGAGAAGAGTGAGGGGAAGGTGGGACAGAAAGAGCTACAATTTTCTGTACTGGGAGGAAATCTGCTGAAAGGATTGCAGCAGGGGATAGGATTGCCTGGTTTTGGATTGGAGTTTTTAAGAATACTCTCGTTTTGTTGACAGTGTAACAGAGTTCCTGACGAGAGGAGGTACCTGCTGCCACTGAAGAGCAACTACATGAGGCAGATCGATCAGATGGTGGGACTGATCTGAGGGGCTCTCCAGAGAAACCTTGATCAGGAGGAGTGTGGGGTTTATCTGCAGACTTTCCTCCCCCTTCAGCTACTCACCTGCACCCACCGAGTCTCCTGGGTATCCCCTGTGCTTGTTGTCAGTTCTAGACATGGAGGGAGATTGAGTTCAACCTTCTGAACTGTGGTAACCTCACAGGCCACCTGAACAGAGATCTCTTGTTTTAAGACTTCCTATGAAAAGTGTTGTTGCAAATGAAGGCTGAATAGGTTTTAAAAGAAAAAAGAAAGCAAATTGGCACGTGCCACTTAGCTACCTCTTTGTAGCTGTATTACAAATGTCCCTCTAGAGAAGGGTCTGCTATTTAATTTGAAGTGATCTCGGGGTTGGGGAAGGAATGGGAAAGTGCAATTTCTTACACCAAGTTGAATTATAGAATTATTCTGACTAGCAATACACAACCTTAAGTACTACTCAGGTAGGAACCCACTGGGTTTTGCTGAAACAAAAATACTCCATTTAGTCTTGAAAAGATAACTCGTGGTGGTGTAAAAAGCTCTTGGTATAGTGTGATATCCCTCATACAGCTGTGTGGAACTCGCAGTGTTGCAAGAGCCTGTAGCTATAGAAACCAGTGAGAAAACAAATCCAGGTGCCTTTTCGTAAGGGAATGGGGGGAGGGAAGGGGGAAATTGCAGAGCCACTCAGCTTTTCAAGCAGCTGAGCACTCAGCTGAGCAGAAGTTCCCAAAGTTTCCTTGTTTGCCATGTTTTAGTGCCTTTTCAGGAGACTGCTGCTAAGAGCTGCTATAACAGTACATGAAGAACAAACTATTTCACATTCCTGACAGCATTGGTGTGTTAGTGCCTTACGTTTTCTTCACTAGCAGAGGAAACTGAGCTTCCTCAGGAAGATGGATACAGTATTTCTAAGGAGGTGGTTGCAAGATACAAAGGAACCCAAAGCCACTTAAAAAACGAGATTATTTCCCCCCCCCCTTTTTTTTTTTTGAGATACTGGAAAAATATCGTCTGTGAAGTTTCAGGAAGAAAGCAGTTAAGGGATTGAGGGATGGCAAAAAACTGAGGCCAAAACAACTTGTTCTGAATATAACAGGGTTTTTTTCCAGTGGTTCCCTGTTGCTTACATGTTTTTAACTTTTGACTACAGTTGAAGTACTAGAATGTTACTTTTGGGTTAATTATTTTTTAAATTGAAGCATAAATAGAAGGACAAACTTGGTCTGTATTTTCACCTTCTTACAACAGCATTGGTTTTCATAAACCACGTGTTGCAATTCAAAACATTTCTAATAAATATGAAGTTTGTGCTGGAGAGGTTATTGGAATCTTTTAATATACAGACATAGCTCAGGGACTTGGTTGTAGGATCTTCTATTCCATGAGAGTTGAATCTTTCATTCAGGCAAAAAAAATGAATAATCAAGTCTTCTCAGTCTTACTGTGTTGTTTTAAGGGGTGAAGGGTTGGAGGGGGGAGAGGGAAATATGTTAAAATTTCCCAAAATGTTGCAGTAGAATGGGTTGCCTCCATGTTTGAGCAGCTGGCAATTCCAGCTCCTGGAGAATTGGACTTGCAAACATATCACTGGAATGTCTGGGTTTCCTGTTTCAAAGGAACACATGAACTGGAGGTGTTGTGATCCCAAGAGGTGCTGGGGGAGGCTCAGGGTGTTGGTTCCTGCCCCGTGCTCGCTGTGTGTGCTCGGGTCTGTGCAGGGCTAAGGAAGTGCAGAGGATGGAAAAAGGGAGGGAAGGACTTCTGCCCGCCCAGGGAGGCAGGAGGCAGAGATGTCTGGGCTCTGAAATCCTCTCCTGGGCCAGGAGTTCTAATCCAGCTCTGGAATGAGAAGTGTGTGGTAGTGTGGAAGCCCAGCACAGCATCTCACAGCAGCCAGCTGAAATCATGGAGTAGCACATGCCAGGATGGACATGGCCTGGGTGTGGTGGTGGCATTTTCAGGTCTTTGTTTGTCTCTGACTCCCAGTTCAGCTCTGAGTGTCTGTGTTACACCTTCCCATCACCTCTCAGTGTTTTGTGCCTTCTGAAGGACCCAGGGGAGGGGTCCAGCTCAGTGTTATGCACAGAATCTGTTCCAGAGTTTTCCTCAGAGAATTCCACTCCTGTGATGAAGTTGCACAACTGTTCTGCCATCGTGTTTTCCCTTGTTTGATTGCCAGAAAGAGTGAAAGGAGGCTGTGGAATGGGAGCAGCACAGGCAGATGTTTCAGCCTTTCAGCCAAATGTGATCAGCTTCCCGTTAGGAATTGCTTTGGAATTCGTGTTGCCAGGTGATGTGACAGTCATCTTTCAATAGGAATGGTCTTTATCCTCAAGGAGGCTGGTGCTGACTAAGTGGTAAAAGACTCTGTGTTCCTTCAGGAGCCACTTCTTCCTCTTTGTTTTAAAAATGCTTGGACCCGTTTTTACTCTGTAACAGGACACATGTTATGCACTAAAATAAAAACTTTTGTGTAAGTCAGTGATATCCAAACAAAATTGATGACACTGCTGGAATGACTTGCTGAGACAGGCTTTTGTATTTTGTGGTATCATGTGCAATATCAAGTTTTCCTAATTAAAAGTGCCATGTATGCTTAATTGTTGTTTATCCATGATGTATTTAATGGAGGACAGGAGATTTTTGAGAGGACCAAATATGCTTTCATGAGATGTCCTGAATTTTCAAAACTTGGCTTAGATTTTACAAATCTGCATTAAAAAAATAGTGTGTTTGACCACTCTCATGTGTGTTTGTCTTTATAGGGTAGTTCTTGTAAGGCCATCATGGTGCTTGCAGGGGATTCCCCTGTACCTTCTGGGTGCTGGATTTTCATCTGGTTAGATCAAGGCATGGCTCCAATAGGCCTCTTCCTTCTCCCCCTGCCCCCTTCCACCTTCTCTGCATTAGGATTTGAGGGGCAGCTGAAAGCAGGGATTGCTGTGGGATGCACTGAACTCTGGAAGCATTGAGCTGTTGGTACCTGAGGCTGAGTAGGTCCTGACCTGCCTGTGGTTCCTGATTCTGCTTTGTCCAGTCAGTCCATGAAGAACCTGCTGCAGGTGGGGATTCTGAGAACTTTTACTGGGCCCTTTCCAGTTGATGGATAAATACTCTGGAACACAGCTCGTTGTGCTTGCAAACAGGACCATGGACACAGCTGTCTGACCATCACTTTTCTGCTTTTCTTTTGTTCTTTTTCTCTCCTACATTTGTTCTCTGTTTGATTGACTTTATCTCTTGTGTTGTTTCCTGGTTTGTAGTCCTGGTCCAAAGGTTCTTGAAGCTGACAGGACTTTTGCTATGTCTGTCTTGATCAAACAAGTTCCAAGAACAGGTCTGTGGAACGCTGGTGGTCAGATTTTTGCAGTGTTTTTAAAGTTTCTCTGGATTTTTGGAAGGTGAGATTTTTGCCCATCATCTTGTGCTACTTCTGCTGCATTCAGACTTCCAAGTGCCAATTCTGATACCCTGACTTTGGGGGAAGAACCACAGCTCTCATGTTTTCACAGGAGTTGCACATTTACAGTGGTGTCACTGCTCTGAGCTATTTGCTGTTACTCCTGATCTTTTCTTGCTTCCTTATCTGCTCTCAGAGGGTTGGTTGGTGTGTTCCAGCTCTGAAGTGGGACTGAGTGCTTTGATGACAGCTTCTCCAAGTTTCTTCATGTTTAAGAAATTATCCCAAAAAAGCCACTCTTCCATTTTTGGTTTTAAAGTCCAAAAGTGTTTGTGAAAACCCTCTTTTTAGGGTATGATGCGTGGGGCTCACCTGGTGTTTCAGCAGAAGAGCCTTGTGGTGGCTCGGGCAGAAGGCTTTGAATTGGGATTGATGCTGTAGATCCAATGTCCTTCCACCAGAGACCACTCTTGTGCCACAGTTTGGAGCTTTGCCTGTGGCACAGCAGCAGGAAACCTGCAGCGTCTTGAAGGTGGAGCGCTGGGAAACGCAGATTTACGGCTTCGTGGAGAAAATGCAGTTTTATAATTCCCTGGGGGAGCTACGAAGTGTCACTGCAGGAGTGGGGAAGGCAAAGCTGGGTGGTCCCAGCTGTGCTCCTACCAGCATGGAAAAATCACCTCTTCTAATTCCTAGAGATATTTGCCTTCATCCTTGGTCAAAGCTGCTCTTAGAAATTTTGTTTCACTGCTCACCACTTGTATCATTCACACACATAAAAGAGATGGACAAGTGTTCACTGGGAGCTGCTTTTTTCCCCTTCTGCCTCATTTGTCCCCCTTTGTCCCCACTTCCCTCACACTGACAATAAAACCATTGGATTGGAGCAATTTTGCTGAAAAACATCTTTTTTTTCCCCCCCCAAGAGAATGTGATTTCTGTTGCCTTACATTTTGCATGGCCATGGAGTAGGACAGCCTGGGGGAGCTGCTCCAGCCTCACCAGCACAACTTGGCATCCCAGGGACAGTTGTTCCCGTTTTCCAGGAGGGGGTGGCAGGGCTGGTTCTGAAACAGTCACTCTGTGGCGTTCTGGAAAGTTATTTTTTTTATTTAGGTAGTGCTGAGAAGGGGGAAAAGGCACCTGCATGTCCCAGCCTGGAGCTGGTGAAGATGCTCCAACCTCCTGCACAAGTCTCAGGTGGGAACACTCCCAGTGGCACTGGGTGTTGGAGGTGGTGTGGTGACTGGGTGAACTGGGGGAGCTGGGACCAGCCAGACCAGGCTTAGTGATCAGGTGTGGATTTACTGGGATGAGGGAAGAGCAATTGGTGTGACTGGGAGAGCTCCAGTGCCCCACTGCCCTGGGGAGAGGGGAGATCACAGGAAGCACTCCCTTGGCACTTGGGGATCGTGGGGAGCACTCCCTTGGCATTTGCACACTCAAGGCAGGTGCTTTAAAAATGTAAAAAACAGATTAAAAAATTAAAAGGAAAAAAAGAGACTATTTTACGTTATTAATACTTTTGAATAATTGAAATGACTCGCTGTGTGAGGCCCAGAGGCTTTCCAATAATGGCAATCTGCATACTATTAATTATTGATGATGTTCATTTGGTGGAGTAAGTAATTCCTAACGTTAATAGCTCTTGGAGGGCACCATGAATCATCATCACCATGGTGTGGTGCAGTGCCAGCAATGTGGGTTTGTCACAGAGCTGCCTTTCCTTAACTTCAGTTGGAATACAAAGCTCCAGTTTGAAAAAATATTGCCTTTTCCCTCCTTTGTTGCAGAGGAGATGGATTTTTTTGAAAGCAGCCTTCAGGAGGAAAAATTAACTCTAGCAGGAGTATTTAAATAAGCATTTTTAATAGATCAAATACCCCCGTGCTCCTGACACTGCCTAATGAGAAAACAAGTTATGTGGCAGGGATGGATTTTCTTTTTTGAATTTTTATTTGCAAATGGTTCCCCCACCTTCCCTTTTGCTTCCATCCCTGCAGTTGAGTGCATGGATGCACCATGGCAGAGCTTTCTGCACTCCAAAGGGCTTTTGGGCAGTGCCAGGTGCTGCCATGCATGGGGGGGGACCTGCTTGGGGTGTAGGAAGGATAATTCATCCTTAATTTGGTGACAGAAAAAACAGAACATCAGATCCAAAGAGTTGGGGTTGGGTTGGTTGGGTTTTTTTGATTTTTTTTTGTTTTTTTACTTTTCTCCCTTCTTTTCTCCCTTTTTTTCCCTACCTTCTCTTTACCTTCTCTTTCCCCTTCCGTTTTCCCCTCTTCCCTCCTCTTTTTCCCCCTCCTTTTCTGCCTTCTTTTTTCCCCTTTTCTTTTCTCCCCTTTTTTCCCCTTATGTTCTTTTCCCTTCTTTTTTTCCCCCTTTCTTTTTCCACCTTCCTCTTCCTCCTCAAGCCCTGGCCCTGGTTGCCCAGAGAGGCTCTAAAGCAGCTCCTGATGCTTTGATGAGGGCAATGACTCAGCTCCCAGTGATTCTCCTTAAAAGCATCCTGGAATCCCAGCATCTGGCCTGGCTGGGAATGTGTGGTAGGGAGGAGGAGAGGAGGTGTGATGTCAAATATGGGATTCATTGGAATTCAGGCAGTTTGTGTGTGACTGGAGATTTTAAAATAACCCAGGATGCTCTGTGTCTCAGTGCAGTCCTGGTTTATCCATAGCCTACCTCATCCTGGGAATGTGGAGATGGAACACCCTTTCCCTTCCTTTTCCCAGTGTTCTCTCCAGCTTCACACTGGGAAAATTTCTCCTCAGCACACGAGGAATGCTTCACTCAGTGACTAATTAGTACTGCTATTAATACAAGATGTGATTCCATTAGATTAATCTATCTTGTTGGTCAGGCTTTAATTAATTAGGTAATAAAGGCAACCCTAAAAAAAAACCCCTTGAATGCTGGTTAATGAAACCCATGGATCTACTTATTAAGAATTAAACCTTTTCTGCCTTTGATATTTTTCCACGTTATTAAACCCTGCTCTATTTCTTTGTATGGTTTGTCCCATCAATAATGAATCTCTTTCTTTTGAATTGCTTTATGTGAGCCAAGAAATCTAATATTATCTAATTAGGGACAACTCTTCCTGCATAATAAATACAGGAGCAGCAAAATCAATTTGTTCCAGGCATTTTGTGTTATTGTTGTTAAAAAAGTCCAGTCTGAGACACCGAAATACCTGTTTTCATAGGAAAAAATTCTCTCTGGAGATGAAGAACTGGTTCCAGTCCTGGGGCTGAGAACCCTGGGAAGCTCAGCTTGGGGCAGCTGGAGGCTCCAGTGGGGGCAAGCCCTGCCTCAATCCCAAAGGGGCTGGGGAAAACCCCACAATTTTGAAGAATTTTCACAGTCTGGATGCATCCAACCCTTCCCTGTGTCCATGTTTTGTGGTCCCTTTGGTCCCAGCGGGTTGGGAACAGGTTTGTGCTGGATGAAGTGAATCTGCCTCCCGTGAAATGGGGGGGATGGGATAAAACAAGGCTCTGCTTGATTTTCCAGGACAAAACTTGATTTTTGGAGACCCTGCCCAGGGATTTCACTGGGATTCACTGTGATAAAAGGTCAGGGAATTTTTGCAGGAGCAGTTTGTAGGTTTTAATGCTGGAAAAATCCAGAGGTTCTCTTTTTATGTGTTTCACCCTCTCGTGTCAAAACATTTGTGGTTGTAGCTTGAATGGAGCTGAAATTCCATAATTTCTGGCTTTGTGGGACTGCTGTGAATCACTCCAGCTCCAACCTGGCTCTCCACTGCTTTCCCAGTGTATTCAGTCTGTAAATCCACACATGGTTTTGCTGGGCACAGTTAAACCCAGCCTTTGCCCATAAGGACAGATGGCAACAGGAGGGACAGGAAAGCTTTTATGAGAAACAATAAATTTGGAGAAAGCCAAGGAGGTACAGAATTATTCTCGAGATCTAATTATTGCAGGGAATGAAAAAAACAGCCTTCTTGAACTCTCCTTCTCAGGGTTAGACTAATATGAAGCATTTAATCATTAGGGAGATGAAATTAGTTCACCCAGATTGATCTCGAAGCTGAACTGGAAAGTTGGACAAAATAATAATTTCATAAACTTCCTTAGAATAACAATTTTCCTGGACAATTATGCTGAAGGACATCAGCTGGTAACCTTGTGGGGCTCCCATGCCCACGTGTGCTGCATCTGGGAAGAGAGATGGAAAATGAGCTGCTGTTTTTGAGAGACAGGAGTGGGAATGTTTTGTCTCAGGGTGGGTGCTGAGGCTCAGACCTCGTGGGAAGGTTCCCTGGAGCTTCAATTTTTCTGCTTTGTTTTGCTTTGTTTTGTTTTAATTGAAAGGTT